TTTTCTCAGAGACAGCTGATGCTGTGTAAATCACTCGCACATTAGTATGTTATTTTCATTTGGAATGATGTATTGAGCTGCTTATATATCCTACAATTCCTGTTCAAATTTATTTAACAGTAATAGCCATAAGTTTTGCTACTCTCCAGAAACACAGTACAATGGAATTATTCTAGCAAGAGGGCTTGTTTTTGCTTTATAAGTGACTTCTACAGGCAATAAATAGGAGTTCATTAAAAAGAGCTAATGAAAAGAATAGCACCGCTTATTCTTCTCCATTTCTCATCTCAAATACCATAAGTGAAGTGAAGGAGAAGGTAAGACAGGGGACAGGAATGAAACGGTGGTTTCCAAGACCTGCACCTGTAACTCAGGATGTGTGTTCCACCCACCTGACCTCAGACAGGAGAAACTACACCTGTTTGATTGTTTGCAGAAAAATAAGATGTAAATTTGTAAAGAGACTTTTAGAGTTTATTCCACTCCTTTGGTGGACTCCAATAAAGTTCCTAGTGAACTAGTAAACAGATTCCAGGCTGGCGAAACAGTCTGTTATAGTTCAGTTGAGATTACAGAATTTAGCTCAGATTCACAACAGTGATATTTACATCAACCTGTGTGAAAATATTTGCTACAAATAAATATATTTTCCACTTTTACATTCATTTGTAAGTTGTTGTTTAATTTAACAAGGTACTGCAGATATCACGTGTGTGCCTATTGCAGGAGGAAAGGATGAGTTAGCACGGCCAGGGGCACCAGGGTGCTTCTCTACACTGGGGAACTCCAGGAGACCTGACAAGGATGTAGAGCACCCCCAGATGAGGAGGAATAAAGTGAGATTTATCACCATACAGGGATGATCTACAGTGGCCATACTGAGGAAAACTGGCCTATACGTGATCACCATTAGCCATATCCTCTCCTAGAAAAGCAGGCCACAAGGAAAGCTCATGGAGAAAAGCAGACCGTGAGGAATTGCTCATAGGACCATGTTTATACGTATATTTCAGTATATATAAACACATATATATGTTTATATGTATGCATATGTGTATACAAGTTTATTTGTATTTATAAATATGTATTTTAAAGCAGGCAGGGTAATCTCAAGACTGCTTGCAACTTCTTGTAGAAACAAGAGCAATCTGAAACATCTGCAGTTCAGCTACATAATTACCAGGAGCAGCAAAAAGTACTTGACAAGAAAGGCAAGGGCCTGTGCCAGCTGTTGAAGAAGTGAAGCAAATGGAACAGCATGGGCACTTTTTCCCCCCAAAAAACTTCATATTTTTGCTACCACCAGTTACCATGCTGGGGGAAAATGGCTGTCAGAATACTAACTACTGGGTAATCTAACATTCTCCAAAGAAACTTGCTAAATACTTTGAGGTAAATAGTGGCAATTTATTACTAAAACCAATATTACCGCCTACCTTCAAGATTAGTGTGTTTTGAAGTATAGCTTTCTAACATATATACATAATTTTTTTTACAGAATAATTCTACCTTGAATAAAAAGCTTGTTACAATTTCTACTGATTACTACTGCTGTGTTACTACATTTCTAACCTAGATCTGATCCTTCACCTCACGTTGCCATTTCACATTATCATTTTTCAGGTAGCAAAGGTGTTTACCACAGTGCTTCAGTTCTCACTTTCCTCCCATCTGCCAAACTTATTTATATCCCTGAAACATACTTTCCTGTCCCTTCATCTGTGGCATGTTCCAGAGCTCCACTGAAAGAATGTTTTGTGAAATCATTCGAAGTTTTTTTTTTAATAATTATTATCCAAAACATTTTTTTTTAATTTGTCTTTTGTTTTTATCATTGCCGTTGTTTGGTTGACGTGGTTGTTCTGTTTTTTTTTGTTTTTTGTTTTTTTTTTTGTTAATCAAATTGTTTCATTAAGAAATTTCCACTTTCCCTCATCCTTTAACAAAAATTTGCTTATTTGCTTCTCTATAAATTGAATCATTTCACTAATGTGGTTTATTGCATAGCCCTATAAACGGACTAGGAACGGCAATAGATTTCAGATTAGGCTGCAGACTGCTTCCCTACTTGAAAAAATGTTGCACAGATTAACTCTCTTGCTTGTTTTATACTCTGTCTCTGGCTAAGATGATTGTGAAAGTAAACTTAGACCCTGAATATGCTTGAACTTTGCAAAAAAATTGAATTCAAATCAGTATTCACTATTTCCAGCTTGTTCAACTGCAAAGTTGTTTATGGTGCCAGAAGTCTTGCTGTGTTAGATGTTCAATTTAAATCACTGGAGGCTGAAATTTCAAAAACAAATTGCAAATCTGAGTTACAGTTTGGACTGAAATTCCATAAACACTGGAATTTCACAGTTGAAATGAATAGTCGTGGTTACTGGGACTATGTTTTCACAGTCCTGTTTGGCTGATTGTAGTCATAGTCACATATTTTCTCTACGGGATTGCTTGGAAATGCAGTGTTGCCCCTTCATGTTTTGGGGAGTAAAAGTGAGAGAAATCTGTTCTGCTCTCCTACTTCAGCTATCAGTTTAGGTTTCTAAACTGAACAATTGCAGTCACAAGTGGTGTCAAAACCAACATAGGTCTTCCAAGAAAGACTCCAGCCTTGAGTAGGAGACATCCCAAATGCGAGTCACTTTATCTTGTACCTGAAGAATTGTGTTATATTTCAAGTTTCTCCTATCTAGTTTATCTCATGGCTGTTGATTTTTCACTGTGATGATGTCAGAAAGTACTCTGCATAAAGCTACCTGATCTTTTATCAAAGGAAGGATTGTGAATAAAACTAGGGAAAGGGGCATTTCTTTTGTGTTCAGTATTCACAAGAACCATAGTTCATTCAGCTGCCATGGACAATATTAAAATCAGAGAAAATGCTGAAAGTAAACAGAATATTTTTTTGAGGGCTGGTTAAAGTGTTTTAAAGTAAGAAACTAAAGCAATCCAATTTAGCTTATCAAAGACTGAGAAATACAATGAATAAATTCCTTCATGAGTAGAAAACACTGAGATCTTTAATCTAGTGGCGAGAAATGTACCAAGAACCAGTGGCTGAAAATGGAAGCCAGACAAATTCAATCTGGAAAGAAAATCCCATTTTCTCTGTGAGAGGAATTAATTAACAGGGGAGATGCAGAGAAAGTGATGAATTTGTTCATTTATTTATTTTGGATGTCTCCAAATCAAGAGTGAATAACTGTGAGGATGTGCTTTTGCCAAACACCAGCTATTGGGCACAATACAAGGGTCACTGGGTGAAATGTACGGCTATGAAGTCTAGAGGAGGTCAGAGATGATCTAGCCCTCCCTTCTGGCCTTCATTGCTATGAATCTATGAATTATGCTAGGTTTGTTGGCATCTTTTAAGATTGAAAAAGCAAGTCTTTGAGGAAAAAACCTGCTTGTGATTCGCCTCAGGAAAATAATTTTCTAGTTCATGCAAAGGAAACTAGATTGATCTGTATTAATGGTGTCTGGCAGAACATTTTCTTAGTTGCTTGCCAAAGTTTTGGCACTGGTTACATTGCCAACTTTAAGAAGTGATATGAATTGATATAAAATATACAAACAACTTAGAAACCTTCTCATGGGAGTAAAATATATATGATGAGCATAATTTCTTTATTTTCAGTTCCCTTGGGAGAATTCAGGAATTTGGCTCTCGAGAAAGTGTAGCAATCATGCCTAAGCATTTTATAGACTTCTAGTGAGAAACTGCCAAGCCCTAGAGACTTGTCAAGGGCAGAGGTTGAATTTTAATCTTCACCACTGTCATTTCAACTGCATCTGAGCTCCCTCTTCTGACATTTAGATTTGGTTTTAACCCCTTAGAGGCACTGTAAATTAATCCCATCAGTCATAATCCCTGGAGCAGGTATTACAGGTGAGGCTCAACAGAGTGCTGCGGGCAGTAGTACCTGAATAGTAACCCCCTTGCCTGCAGGTCCATATTCAAACATTTCAAGCAAAGCTGTTTGTGATCCTTTCTCACTGATGCAAATACTTTTTTGTTGTTCTTGTTATTGCTTTGGTTTGCTTTGCTTTTCTGTTGTTTTGTTGGTTGATTTTTGTTGTTGTTGTTGTTTTGTTTTGTTTTAGCTCCAACATTTTTCTGTCACTGTTTTTTGTGCAAACTCTCTCAGGGTAACTTTTTTGAACTCAGAATAGGAAAAAAAAGGCCCCAGATATTCAGCCACTTCTCCCTGATTTATCGCATCTGAATAGCTTCCAAGGATGCTGTCCAGGGCAGACACTGAGACACTAGTTTTAAAGCTTGCACAATGTTTAAGGGAATCAGTTCTTTATTATCCTCAGCGGAATGTACTCTTCTTTAATCACACCACAACTCCTATTGTAGTTTGTGTCTGAGCTGTCATCCTTAGAGGGCAACTTTTATTCTTTTTTAAATACCTAGACACATATATGAACAAACACCTCCTGTCTTTTCAGCTTTTTCAGCTTCCAGGAGCCTGAGAGTATTTTTACACATTCTTTTTTTTTTTTTTTTTTTTTTTTTTAAGTTTGCAGAAATATTTATCCCTTTGACTACATTTTTTGAAGATGTAAAAATTGTCTGTATAGTCATGCATCCCCTCAGACATCTTCACCCAAAGCCATAAATCAGCATCCCCTCCCAGCCTCTTCAGTATTAAGTTTCTTCTTAGCCAAGCTTTTTTTCTTATTTCTTTTTTCGGAAGGAGTGGGTGGGCAAGAAAAGAATTTCATGATGATTACTTGTTCAGATTGAGCAAAAGAATAAATAAGGGAAGACTATCATCAGTTATTATCATTTTCATGTGAGTTTGCATGATAATGCTGTTCCTATTTAATGCTTAATATTCAAATTGGTATTCATCCAGATAAGGAGTCTTCTAGCATGTTAGAAAATGATCTCCTAGAGACTATTCAGTTTACTCATTAGATCTTGGGTGTGCCTATTCAAGTCCAAAGTATGCTTGCCTCTAATGGAAGACAGGAGGAGAAATTCCACATGGTAGATGACTGTCATCTTTTAGGATGCATCATCTAAAAGATATGATGATAGGCTGGGATTTGTGGAATTGGTTTGATTGCTGCCAGTACAATCAGACATTAAAATCCCACTTGATCCTTAGGCTGACACTGAAAACCTGATGGAAAAGAAGGGTGTTATTTATCAGTTTCCTCAAGGCTTTTTCTATCAGCAGACCAGTCATCTGACCATCTCATCTTCTCTCAGCAGACTGCTTCCGACTGTGAGCAAAAGAGATGAACCAGTGACAACAACGGTAAAAATATCAAGAAAAAAATATAAATAAAACAGATGAAGAATAGCATATCCAGGTATAGCCTGGAAAGGATGGCTTTAGAAGATTATTGAGACATACTGAATTGAGTTTGACAAATGCTGACAATTTATAAAACATTAATTAGAACTAGCAGTTAATTTTGTGTGTACTTTCATTAAAAATTGCATTGTTGCTGTATTGAGACAGGTAAAAGTTTTACCATCTATTAAACTTTTCTAATTTCAATTACTTGTCTTTCTCTATCTATAAATACAAAAATAATTATAGAGTTGGAAATATACAGAAGGAAAGAATGAAAGAAAGAAGATGATTCTCCACAATAGTATGGGAAGGTGTAATCTAGTCTTCTAGCACTTAATAAGCATCTAAGTTGTGATTCTCTATTCTATAGACAGTGAGGTTCTGCTCTGGTGAAAACATATTGCCAGTTGATACCACAGTGCCAAGCAACCAATATGAATTTACATCTTCATCCTCTTTCTCTCACTTTCATTCTGACCATAAATTTCATGCTGAACTGAAAAGTTTATCCGTCTGAAATAAAAAAAAAACAATATATTCATGTAATTTTTTTCAAATTTTCATTTTAAAATGAAAAAAAATGCTTCTTGCCAAAATCTACAGACCTCTTTTTTCAGATATATCGGCTGCTAATGACAGATGTCTGATTACACATAGCATATCCATAAGAAGTGGTGCTTTGTATTTCTTGATTGTTTTAGTCCTGCCTTCCTCTGGACTCTTCATGGCCCCACTTCAGCTCCGCCAGCTACAAAGAAGTAGAAGATGAAGTTCAGACAAAGCTTATCCAGGCTCACCATTCTACCGCTTGTTTTCTAACCCCAAGGTTAGCAGGGCTAGGTAGTCAGCGCTGAAAACAATGGCCTAATTGAAAACAATTCCCTAATCTGTAAAGCAGCTTCTGTGAATGCTGCCACAATTAGAGACACAGAACTCTTAGTGCAGACACTGACTCTCCCCAGCTCATTTGCCTTGCAGCTGGTATATTCAAGTACTGGCATGACCTCTTTATGCCTTTCTCTCTATATATTTTTATTCCTGAGTGTAGAGACATAAATGTATTATTATGTCTTCCATTCTGTGGTAACAATACTGATTATGCTCGAGTGTACTACACCAGCTATACAGGCAGAAAAGTTGTGAATGGATGCTACTTGAAGGTAGCTTCTGTTCTAAGAGAAGATAGTTCTGATTAGATGCTCTCATTTCTGTTCATGATTCTGTAACCCTGAACAAAACCACAAGCAATCTAATGCCAAAGCTCTTCTCTTCTGATGATAACCAGATATCTGAGAACTTACCATGTTTATTCTCTTGGCAGGGATGACACAGATTAGAAAAAAATAAAGTAACAACACAGTGGACAGTGCTTTATAGAACAGAAAATCTGAGAAAAGTGACTGGCAATTTGGCAGGCTCTTGAGAAAGTAATGAATTAGCAGCAAATAAAAAATGACAGTACCAATATGTAAGCAAAAGAAAATGAAATTATCTAGTGTACAAACATTTTCTCACTAATTATTTAAAATGAAAGAACTAGAAAACAATTCTTATAGAGCATTTTATAAATAATCCTGTTCAGATGGGAATTTCAAACTCTAATAGTTTGTGTTGACTGTTTATTTACAGGCATATGTTAAAAAACCTCATTATGAAAAATGGCAACAATCCTTGTGTAAACCAGCAGCAAGAGAGTATTCATTATGTTGAACACTCTAGTCTAACATTACACAAACAAGGACTCTGTTGTGATACCAGCTAACAGGACACAACATGATCCTGCAGTGATGAGGGGGGATAAAATTTTTAGTGTTTAGCTTGATGAGTTACTCTTTCCAATGTGAAAATAAACAAAATGTATACTTGCCTACATTGCCATCAAGCAACCAACAACTGAAGTTCAGACCTACAAACAACGTATTAGTAAGGAAATACAAATAACAGGTCTACTTAAGGCCCACACAGTGCTCTGTCCTTTTTCCAGACATTACACATTTCAGCTAGCACCTAAGCCTACAATGCAAGGACTCCCACAGATCTATCAGTGGTTGCAAACTAAGTATGAAGTTAGGTATAGAAATAATGTTATTTTCTTTCAGGTTAACGGACCCATTTGTAAGCATTCAGAGTGGTTCCAGGGCTCTGAGCCTTATCTTAGGAAGAACAGATTTAAACCTGGAAATGTCATTTGGTCTGGTCTCAGGAACGCTGCATTTATAAGCAGTGGGATCTATATGCAGTGAGCCACTTTTTTCTTCGGATGGGAGGAAGGGTACTCAGGCAGGATACTCCCTGTATCTGCAGAGCAGGCGCCTGAGAATTCGCATCCTCCTCATCCGGGTCACCTTCTCTGAATTGCAGTGCCATGACTCAGTATAAAAGGAAAAGAATACACAGGATCTCAAGAGCTTACAACAACCAGTACATTCCAGTGCTGAGAATGCATTCAAAAATATTTCTTTGAGAGGGTAATGGCAAGGAAAATCTAAGGGACAGGCTTGAAATTTCTTCCATCAGAGAGGATTACGGAGGGAACTGAGGGATTCCAACCTTTACACCAGCCTCTTGAGCTAGCAACATTTCTTAGAGTCACAGAAAGTGTGTGACATGATGGTACTGCTTGGGAAAAAGAGGTATCATTTGGGAGCAACCATGTCCACCTTCCTTCAGATCCATTGCCTAAAATAAAATGTCTGTGAATCTGCTTCTTGCAATTGCCCCTTCTCAGTGTTCATTCCATCAGTGCCAAACTCATGTTTCTCTAGCTCCTTAGGGGCAGCTTTCCAAGGCTACTCCTACAGCCAAATACCCTGAGGCTGGTGAGCAAAAGGTACTGTTCCTTTGGCTTCAACATCCTCAGCCTCCCTGATCTTGCACCAGGCCTGAACCTTTATGTGTAATTCTACTAAAAAGGCTCCTAACAAATTCCCAAGCCAAGGAAGTGGGAGACGTGCTACTCTCTCAGAGAGCAATATAAACACAGATAGTACAGTGGACTTCAGATTCATAAAAATCCAATTTAGAGAAGGTGATTTAAGGGATTGAGGAACATAGATTGAAACTTACAGTGTTTTTGCTCTACTGCTGAACCCAGCCTCAGCCTTCCCAGGGACACCAAGATAACACATTTCATCAATCGCCTGCCTGATTCCGCCTTCCCAAGATGGGAATAAAACTGTTCTTCCTCACTATGATTTTGTGAGGATAAAATCCGCTAATGACCATGAGGTTTTCAGATAAGGCCCTAGAAACAGGGCATAAAATATTATCCCAGGCTACATTTCTGCCAATATTTTCATTTCCTATGCTACTTGCCATGCTGCTGTGCAGAAGCTCAGCTTCCATTAATGCGCTGCATGGGAGTAGCTGTGAGGCTGCATGCTCTGTCTCCACTAATCCTTTTTCCTCTTTCCTTGACTTCCTTTTGTTCATACCAGAGCTGCTGAGATTTTAGACTCAAAGTGCAGCATTGGCCTCAGGAAAAGTAAGTTTTGTTCTCGCTTCTTCTGCTGACATTTTGTGTGACCTCCAGGAAATCATTTAACCCCTTCGTTGTTCATCTCTAAAAAGAGAACAAAACCATTTTCTTTGTCCAATCTGCCTGTAGAAGACAGTGAGCCCCCCCAGCTGCCTCCTGCTTCAGTTGTAGACAGTGGATCTTGTCTGCAGCCACTGAACATCACTATAGTCATGATAAAGAAGAGAAGCAGATGACAGATGGTGGCAGTAATGCTAGGCTCCCAGCTGTCCAAAGCAGATCTCCCAGCTTTGAGGTTTTGAAGAGAAAGGTGATGCTTTCCACTCACCCACCTCATTTCTACTTCCATATGGCTTTGGGCTGTAAAGAAGAGGGCAGCTGCTAGGAATAACAGGAACCTACCCAGGAAGCACAGGACACATACATATGCAGAAAGCTTCCTGCTGCCCTGTCCTCTCCATTCTTGTGTTTGTCTCATCTAATTGGGAACCTCATGCTTGGGGCAACCTATCCATTCCTCAGTATTTGTCTGGTGGCTACCCCCTGAGAAGCTTTATCGTGTTGTTCCTTCTACTCTAATAAACACAATTATTGTTAAAAAGATTTGCAACAAGGTGAAGAGACTGAAACAGGGAGTGGCAGATTGTCCTACAGGATTTTTAGACCTGGTTACAAAACAGTTCTCTGAAAAGTCAATTTCTACAATTTCCATGTATTCTTTGTTATAAATTGCCACTAAAAATGGTCAGAAAATGGCACACTTCATATACTAACCCTGTGGAAACTGCTTCAAAGAGAACAATATCCATCTACCTAAGATCATTAACAAAGCTGACAAAAGCATAAAACCCAAGTGCAACAGTCAATGAAGTTTTCAGTAATTTCTTCAATAACTTCAATAAAACTTCTTTGGAAACTAGAGATGGCTTGATTTGCTATATCAGAAATTGGCAAAGATGGTGGTGGTTTGAGTAGTGTAGCACTTTCCCTTTTCTCTTCATCCTATACATACATTTCTTCAGTGGTTAAGATCTACTAAATACTGAACCATATATTTGTTAATGAAGTGTATCTTAAAATGTGTACTGAATTTACAAAAAATACATTTCAGAAATATCATGTACAGCTGACATATGTAAACACACATGCTAAGTACAGCAGAATTAAAAGCAGAACTTAAGTTGCTCTTATCTGACTGCAGCAACCTTGTGATATTTGTTAAGGTTTGTGTGTGATGAATGGATTCGTGAGTCAATGCCTAACATATGTTTGCATGTAGATTTACTTGTAGGCAAATGCAGATTTGCGTTTTGAAATACAAAGTTTAAAAACACTGCTAGGAACACTTCCTCAATATTTTGTTGAGACCACAATCTCCCAGCATTTACTAAAAATAAAATTAAGAAATACTGAGTCTGAATGCTTCTATTTTATATTCTGTTACTTTTCCTGAAGACTGGTAACTGGTCATGTACAGCTTGGAGTATCACAGTGGTATAGTGTTTGTGAGGAACTGCAGATGAATTCTGTTCAATGAAAGAAATGACTTTGCAAAGTGTTTACATATAAAGAGATGTTCAAGTAGCTTAATGCAAAATGAAAACAAATATGCATACACGTAAAAAAAAAAGTTATCAAATTTTCTTTCATTTATTATGAAATTATATTATGATACACCCAGAAATACTGCTGGTGAGAATACCTATTTTTTCCTAACACTCAGGGACCTTTTGTTCCATTAATAATTTACATGCCCACTCCCTCAACTCTCCAACCCATGGGCATAAGGCCACCCGCTGGGAGCACTGAGATGAAGTTTCCCTCACTAGAGTTTCTGAACAGAACTGCTAGAAACACCTCAGAATACATTTAGCCTACGCTGGAGGTGTGCTTTTTCTTCAGACTGAAATGTACTGTCCCAAGCATTTGTCTGACCACAGCAACAAGCTGGATACCACAGCCTTCTACCACCAGTCTGTTGCAACACCCAAGCAACATAAATTGTGTTTCCCACATTGTTTCAGCAGGAAAAAAAATATAATAATAAGTGGACAAAAACAAAGAAACAAGTTCAACAAGATCAAGTGCCAGGTCCTGCACTTGGCCACAACCCCAGGCAATGCTATGGGCTTGGGGCAGAGTGGTTGCAAGATTGTGTAGAAGAAATGAACCTGGAGGTGTTGGTCAATGCTCAGCTGAACATAAGCCAGCGCTGTGCCCAGATGGTCACAATGGCATCCTGGCTTGTAGCAGCAGAGATAGTGTTGCCA